AAATCTATGTATTTTGTGTGAATTTTTATTAGTTGTATTCCTTACATCCACGTATCTTTTAATGGACATCTTATGAAAGCAACTTCACATTAATGTGTATGAACGTTTTTCACCTTAAATGGCTAATAAAGATGTATACATCTCAAATTTAAAGAAGAATACTGCATATCTGGGTAATTTGAAAATTTAGACACTTAGGTGAAATTTAATATCACTACTAACACACTTAAATCTACAGAATGCACTCACCTCAAGAGAATCACAATAATGCAGAAATAGTTTAAAGAAATAGTATAAAACAGAAAACAAAACTTGTGGCATTTCCTCATATTTAATTTTTTAAAATTTCATCTATAGGAAGATTCAAAGAGTCTTTTAAACAGTTTAGACAATAACATTGTTAATCTTCCTCCTTCATTTCCATTTGTCTCCTGTCCCTTCTTTCTCTCTGCTTTCATCATTTTTTCCTTCATTCTCACATTCCTCCTCCTCTTTCCTTTCGGGCATTATTCGCAAGGCAAAGAAAAGACCAGTATAATTTGTTTTTCCCTAGAACAAAGTCTATTTGATTATACATGACCACTAGTTAAGAGATGACCAGATGATTCATCTCTACTTCTGTAAGCTCCTTTATGCTAGGACCTTTGTAAAACACAGACTATCCCTAATAGATTAGTGTTAGTACACTTTAGGCTTTTCAGTCATTTCATGGATGTAAGGCCCAGAACTGCTTTTGTCACCACTGCATTCCCAAAATTAGAATTGTGCCTGGTACTATGAATCTACAGGCGCTTGGAGTTCTGGCAGTTAATGTGGGAAGGAGATGGAAATAAAAGCCCCTGGAAACCTGGATCAAATATATTGATTTACAGTTCTTACTGCTATTACCAGCAAAAATCTGCACACACAGCCAGTCACATTCATTTCTCTTGAAGACACTTCTTAATATTCAATCACAAAACACCTTTTTGGTTATGATGTGCGGGAGTAGTGACATGAGTAGGAGTGGGAAAGGAGTGGCAGCTATTTTGCTCTATTTCAACTTTCTGATAACCTTGAGTGCCTTTTGGAAGGGCTAACCACTGATAGGACATGATCTGGCAACTACAAATTCAAAACCTAAGTAAGAAAAAAGTCAGAAGTAACCTTAGCAAACTTAAATTTCCCTGACTCAGTAAGAGTCTTTCCTCATACCTACCTTGTTTCAGAAATGAGAAACCATAGCTACAACAAAACATACTGTGTGGTGACTTTTCTTAAGTAATCCTCACTACCTAGCATATACTTTGTTTTCTTTTTGATAATTCTAACAGTTTTGAAATCTCTAGAGACTGTAAATTTTTCACTAAGGTTCATAGTCAATTGATTTTTGTGTTTGTCACTCATGTAATCAATACTGTGACAGCTGATATTCAAAGTGTGATAAATGAGTGAATTAATGAATAAATTCCTTCATAGAATGCTCTAGTTGAAAAAAATCTTCCTAAATCTTGATCAAACCATACTGCTAATTTAATTTGGTCAATCACTTCATGAATTGCAAATTTATGAGTTATGGGGCTCACCCAGGATATCTGAAAACAATAAAAGTTAATACTATACCTCTACTTGCGACACCTATTTAGTATATCACTTGTATAAAGTTTCTACTTTTTAGTAACACCATGCTGAATGACAATTACTAGTGTTGATGGTAGACAGAGGCCAGATGTAAACTACAAGTGCTTAGTAAAGGCACACACTAGCACTTTAAAATTAGCCAGGAGTTATTGTGCAGGTGGAACTGTTGGTGGTAGGAAAATCAGGGGAAGTCTTCACATTTGCTGGCAGAATCCGTGTGACTAGTTAACAGCATCACAATTGTTTTATATTTACTAACACCATTATTTAAAAAGCTAAAAGAATAGCATGACAAAATTATTGCAATCATGATACTGCATTTAGCCTTTTATTTTTATAGTCATAGAAGTGTATTGTTATACAAAGAAATATGATAAACTAGTCAGTAATCTTCAGTGTGTTTTCTTTGTGGCATAACTAGATAAGGTGATAAAAACAAAAGCAAACAAAAATTCCCATGTTTTAGAAGAATTAGCTAAAACTATCTTTCAAAACAATCAATTAAGCATATGTTACTTGGATTATATATAACATAAAACCATAAAAACTGTAGCTCAACATTTAGTTTTATTGGGGGGATGGAGTGGTTTTCAAAGTGCTTCTCATCTTCCATACAAAAATCTGATGTCATTTGTCTTTAAAATTATTTAAATAATTTTTCTGACAAAAGAAAGGGAATGACTAGTCAGAGACATTAGAAATTTAGCTAACATAAAAATAAGTAGTAAACAGTCAACACATTATTATTTTAGAATATGCCACCGAATGTGGTGTTATAACATTATGTTTCTATGTACATATTTTCCTAAGACCTTTTTAATTATGACCAAAGTTAATCACCTCACTTTAAAACTACCATTGTTTACTTACTTATAATGATATACTTTATAGGTCAAGAATGGCTAATATCTTGGCGATATACATGATTCTCTTCAGATCTATGATGTTAAATCAAAATTAAATGGCAGAGAGTAAGAATTACAGAATCATAAAGAGAAAATTTTAAGATGCTAGCATGTAAATGAGGTTCTTTGAATATAACCGCAGAGGGAAATGTAGCAGGTCCATCAACATTCCATGGGTGCTGAGAGGACTGACCCAAAATGCCAGGTATTTCTTACTCATTATGTTTGTTTAGAAGGACAGGACAAAAGTAGGCCTGGTGGTACAGACCTTCCTCCGCAGCATTCTGGGACTCTGATGCACAAGCATCACGAGCTCAAGCTCAGTCTGGATAATTTAGTATCTCAGTAAAACCTTTTCTTAAAAAGGGGGTTGGGGGACCTGGGAATACTGACCAGTGTGGAAGCCTTTGTCCAGTCATCTCCAGTACTGCAAATAAAGCAAAACAAAACAAAAATATATGTTCTTATGTCTTCTTCTTGACAAAAGTTGTATTTTTATTTCTACAAATTAAAGCATAGTCAGAGATTTAGCTTTCTTTTCCTACTCATACTCTGTTTCCTAGCCTCTATTTTTCATTATAGTGAACTTAAATCTAGGTATGACCTATTTTGTCCTAAATAAACCTCATTTAATCTCTGAAAAATGGACCGTGACATTTGTTACGGTATAATCAACATACCTTTGAATAAATTTCAATGCCGTATTTTTAATAAAATATTTTATCCAATAAAACCTAACTTCTCGGAATTCAATGGAAGTGATTTTTACAGACAGAACATTTTATAAGTTTCTTTTAGCAGTATTAGATGGTGACCATCTTTCCCTGTGTGTAAGGTGGTAGAAATAACCATAAGCAGGTTAAATTTCTCTTAGATCACCCCGAGAGTGCAGTATCTGTTGATGTCCTGGGAGTGTCACTTTAGGTATGCACATGCATCTAATGGCTCTATTGTCCCTTTATCTATGCATAACATTGCCCATAGGGGAATTTCCCAATAAAATCTTCTTTACTAAGTTTTCGATTTTAGAATTAACATTATTAAAAATCAGGGCTGAAATTTCTTCAAGGTGGGGTGGGGAGGATAGCTGAAATAGAAATAAATTCAACTCTGCACTGCTACACTGAGATGAAAGTTACAATTTGCTTTGTGTATGTTCCCATTAATTCTCTTGCTCTTTCATTTCCCACATCTTTCTTCTATTCCTCCTCATAATCCATTTGTCTATTTTCTTTTGTAGGTGTGTTTCTGCAAAATGTTCAAAGAAAGGTGGTGGGAATTGATGCCGTTGTCTCTGATAGTTGCACATCTGTAATTCTTACCTTATTTGGATCTAGCACTACTTCCAATCCAGAGCCTTTTTATTTTATCAGACTCAAGTTCACACATCCTGGGAATTGAAAGCAAACACTGAGCCTGACCAATAATGGAAAGAGTTATCATCCATGGACCAATTTTACATCTTTGTTGATAAACCTGAGAGAAAAAAAAAATAATCTTCCTTCAGAATAAGAGTGTCGATTTAATTTTTCAGTGTCCCTTGAATGTGCATTCATGTATTTTTCATTCATGTTGACAGTTAAAAGGGAAAATTATGAGCTATGGGAAGGGAGGAAGTGTGGCAGAACGGGAGCAGTTTCCACTCACATCATAATAAAAGGAAAATGACAGCCACGTTAGGTTTAGCGGGAATGGAACATATCCACTGCTTTATCACTCTGGAGGCACATTTTGACATAATAACAAAGTACTGAGACAGAACCACTTTTATCTAGGTCAGAATGACAGACTGCAAATGTTAGGGAGCTTGAGGGAACTACAATTTGTAGTCTGAAATATCAGGAAGAAGACTGCAATCCTCAGAAATTTTCATCAAGTCTTGACTCAACGCTGCCTGATAGTTTTCATCCAGTACACTGTAATTACTTTACTGGCATACAATAGCAACACATTTTGATTTGAGAATATACCAAAATGGAACGAACTACATTTTTATGTTGCTACATTTATAATAAGATGCAGATGGTAAAGGAAACAGATGCCTCTGACATCATCTCCCATTCCTCTTCAACTTTTGCAGACACTGGCAGTCTGTAAACTCACTCAGAGGGATGGATACAAGATAATTCAGGCAGTTTTCCAATTCTCTTTCCAGACCAAAAAATGAAAAACTGAACCCCCCTCCCAAGAAACAACAATGGTAGCATTGCTTACTTTGAGTCACACAGTGGTAATTCCACAAAAATATTTGTTTTGAAGTCTGCGTCAATTTAATACAAAGTTAATCATCAGGGAAAACAATCTTCACAAACACTGGGACTTTGGCCATTAGTAACTACTGGTTGTTATGCTTGACAGGAACAGAAAGGACAGGGTGGGAGTGGTGTCATGGCAAACAGCTGTAGCTTCTGTGAGGCAGGAAAGAGTTTTAAATGGATAAGCATGTAAAAATAATCTCCCATCCCTCCACACCTAGACTGTTCACAGATATAATCTTTATTATTTCTAAGTAAAAAACAAACAAACAAAAATTTAAACAGGCTTTTTTCAGACAGTTTCTGATCTCAAAAGAGAAATCTTTATTCTGAATTTCCATCTGTTTTTTTTTAGAAGGAATCTGATAGTTCTAATAGGAACTTTCACCATTTCCCCAGTGACATTATACAAAGTGAAATGAATTTTTCCTTTTTCTTTGTGACACCTAAGTGTTTTAGAAGATTTTTTCAAAAAGATAAGAAACTTTTGTAGTCCATCTTCAAAGAAAGAAATGCTTGGGTAAAGCAGCAATTTCAAGGCCTTTTAGTAATGTTTGAGGTCCTCCAAAAAGGATTAGCACAGTCACAGATGAAGGTGAGTTAGAGAAAATCTTTTAAAATCTTCTCCTCTCTCTGGACCCCCATGATATAACTTCATCTGCATGTATGTAGCACAAATATTTCAGCAGAAAAAAATTTAAGAAACAAAGGCAAGGAAAGTGAGAACATAAAAATAAATCCTGCTAGGCAAAATATGGTACTTATTTTTAAAATAATTTCTCTGTGCAAGTAACGGACTGAAAACACACCCACCCTCCCACACACACATGCACGCACGCACACGCAGAATACAAGAATAAACAAACTCTTCTAGTTCATATCCACAAAATGGGTTGGGAAACATTAGTGCAAATTTCTGCTGACCTGCAGCATTTAGTCCATAAACTTTGGATATCCTAGACGATCCATCAGTGTCCAGCAGATGCTTTCAATTAATTTAATTTCATCTCTAGGTAAGTTGTGTTTCCAAACATTAGCATTAGTTGGTGATATTTCCCCCTCATAAGGAAGGTAAAAAAGGTTTGTGGAAGTAGCAAACAATATTTGGTTTAAACTCGCAGGAGACAAAGGAATTCCAAGAAAAGCAAATATCCTTTCAGTAGTTTTCTGAGGAAAATGAACAATATCTTCGAATTTTATGAGCTGGTAGCTGGTAGGCAGCAAATCTGTATTTATTCTCAAGGCTGCTGCTGTGTTTGCTAGCCACAAATGAGACAATAAGGAGACAGTATTAGACTGAGATTTTGCTAATTCTTTTCGCAATGGTTCATACTCAAAAGCATAGTCTGAATCTAAGCTACACTTGCCTTTACCTCTCTCTATTTTAAACAATTTTGCTAAGTGCTCTGGTACATTCTTCAAAGTGTAAAGACTTGGTTTACTACTATATAGCATTGAATAAATCCATGCTCGAGGGTCTCTTACTATGTATAGTGCTCTCATAGAAGTTCCTAAAACTTCCTGAAAAAATGGAAGCTTCAATGTCCAGCTACCACTACTTAAACTGAGCACAGGCCGTGCACTGGGATAATAGACTAGGTGTCTCCTCAAGGCCCTAATATATTCAGCATCTCTATCAAAGGAGCTTTTCATTCTACTTCTTTGTTCTAGCAAAGACTCTCTCCTTTTCAATTTTCTTTTCTTGTCCTTATTCATTGTAAAATACTGGCCCAGTTTACCCCTACTGGGTTCACGTAGATGGATATTTTGCAAATGTATTTTTGTGTCCTGTACTAAAGACTGCAACCAGCCTCGGAGTAAACGAAAATGCCCACTATGAATATCTGTCACTTTCCATTCACAAGCATCTACAAATGAGTTGATTTCAAATTCAGTTTTAGGGATATCAATGTAGGCTGTAGGAACTCTGATGTAGAGGAAATCACTACTGTTGAAAAACAGTTGTTTGAGAATTTCAGCTCCCGAACCAGGAAGTGAGGTAATGACAACATCAGGAAGATCCACGTAGTGCCCCTCAGAAGGCCCCGTCTTCTTGCCAGCCTCCGTCTCTTTTTTTGTCCATTTTGCACAGATAGGCTGAGTACAACTACTCCACACATCCAGCAGCTCAATAAACCACAAGGTAATGACAAGTATTAGTATCCAACGCATTAGCTTTCTAAAAGAAAGGTAAAATCTCCATTGAAAAGTTAAAATTGCCAAACTAATGCACAAAATTAATCCAACTGCCACATTAAATTTAAATCCAAAGGGGAAAATGACTCTATTATGTCTTAAAGGCTTTACTATTGCTTCAGTGCCCAAACCGAAATGGGTTATTTGATTCTGATCAGCCACATTGGCAAACCCACCAAATCCCAGGTAACTGAATCTAGTATTCAGGTTATGGTAGTCAGTTACAATGGAAACAATATGTTCAGTATTATTGACATTGAGAGAAATCTGAAGTCCAGTACTGGAACTATCAATGAATCTGCAAGTGGAAACATTGACATATGGCCCATAAAAGATGTAGGCTATTCTTGTGATTGTGGAATCCATCTGGAATGTAACATTAACAAATTGAGTCCACCTCTTTTTAAATTCTGCAGCTTGCTCTGCTTCCTGTATACTACCCACTGGGCTGTTGCCATGATGATCAAACCAAAACATTTTGTAGTGTGCATCCCACACATCCATCATGGCACCATTAAACCTATTCATGAATCTATATTGGATGTATTTAAAATCAATGTCCAGATTATGAAAGAAGGCACTGACAGAATTTATTGGGGAACCTTCTTGCCTTTCAATGTGATCGACAACTAGTAGAGTTTGAGAATTTAAGAGAAGCAAAGCACGATACACACTTTTCAGTCTCATTGCTGACGAATAAGCAGACACTGCTTCCCCACTCACAAATATCATTTCCCCATGTTGAGAGGCAGTGATTATTTCCCCAGCTGCATCACCAACCTCTTCACCAGTCCACTTGAGCCACTGTGCACATTCTCCTAGTTGACCTTCCCAGGGTTGATTACACTGGCTTGATGGTGATGGGGCGAAGACCAATACATTGTTAAGGTGGCTCAGCTTTGGCCCATAGAGAGCCTCAGAAACAAACACTTGCCCATTAGGGGCAAAAGTGAATGAGTTCTGATCTGGATGTTCATGGCCTGGGTTAAAACTTCTCCAGCCATCAATCCAGGAGTATGGCTGGAAGTGAACTATGTCATACACAGCTCGTCCTCCCAGCTTCCCAGATTTGAAAGACACAAAGGTATTGGTTTGTGTATTGGGCAGGCCAGCCCCATAAGTGACAACACCCCAGTTAGGAAACATGTGCATTTTAGCAGTACCATAACCAGCAGGAGGCTGTGGGGTGAGCTGGGGGTCATACCAGAAAAATTCGGTGTGAAGTGTACTCCACCTTTGGGCAGTGGAAGGAACCATCGGTCCATCCTTAGGTCGATGCTTTCTAATTTGTTGTGCTAACCAATTTCCAGCTCCATTCTTTAAGATGAACTTATCCAAAAACACTAGCTGGCTCTCTGGACCATAAAACCAATTATAATTAGAATCCGCTATCCCCACAGTTCTCTGGAAGCCTGGCAAAAGGGTAGCATAATAGAACCAAAAGTGCATCCTTAACCAGTTATTATCCAAGTTGTTAATATTAAAATGGCGCTGTGCCAAAAAAACATACTGTGTGACTGATTTAGCAGTATAGCTTCCATAGGCCACACCTTCATCCAAAGAGCCATCAACAACATGATTCAACAGAAACATGGTCTTTTCCATCACATCCACTACAACTTGTTTCCATAAATTTGCTTTGGAACCTTTTTCTACCCCTGCAACCAAGGCCCCTGTGAGTAACGCTATCATATTAGTAGCTTGGTGGTTGTGAAGAAGTTGTTTGCCCCATGAGCGGACCTTGGAATATTCATACATTTCCTCAGTAACAACCCATATCTTTTCAAGGTATTTTTGTCTTCGATGATTATCCAACAAGTTATATAAAAAGTCAAAGGCGGTGGCAAAACCTGTCAAGGAATGGCCAATTGGAACCTCATCTCCTGGCGCATTCTCAACCAGCCAGTCTTTATAGCCAACCATTCGGTCCATATATTCCAAGACAAATTCAAAGGCAACTTTGTCTTCTGGGCATAACAAACAGTACAATGCTAAAGGAGGCAGATTGTTACCATAGATTTCATTCCACTTGGCAGCAAAATCAGCATGCTTGGGTGGAGGTAGGTAGTATGTCGGGTTGGAGAGCATAACTGTCACTGCACTTCTGATAGTTCGGAAGAGATGTGAATGGCTTGTACGGGACTTCTGTCTCATTGCTTGTATTTCTCCAGCATCGAAATATAAACTTGGATGAAGCATACTTCGCCTCAGCTTTTGTTTGGGTCTGACCTCTTGTACTTTCTGTGTCTTAAACTGATCTATATCATCTGTGAAGACTGCCCATTCAGAGTAATTGCTCACGGATTCTTCTAAAGTAAAGAAACTGAACATTACTAATGTTAAAAATAGGAAATGTCCTGTAAACATTAACGCCATGATCCATGGGGAAGATCCTTTCCCTAGGCATACATGTTAAAGCCAGTATTTAATGTGTTTTCCTATCTGGCTAGTATAAAACACACACTAAAGATTCTGATAAACAAAAAAAAAAAACTTTAAATCCGATGTTCTGTGAAGCCCAGCTGACATCCAGCTTACTCAAAGCAAGTGCAGTTGCCAAAAAGAGAAAACTTACACTGTATATTTGAGTCCTTGACAGAGTTTTGATTCAAATAAAACTTCAAGGAATAATAATACCTTGCGACAGCATGTGGGAAACAGTGGCACAGTCAAAAACAACATGTATTCGGCACTTACTTTCTTTACATCAATCTATTTAAAATGAAGAGTCAAAACATATGCCATAAAAATGGAAAAAAAAAAAAAACACTTAAACATTTAAACTAAGAGTCATTCCTAACATAGGAAGTCATCATTGGTGATAAATGAATCACAAATGTATGGTGTGTTTTTTGTATTTGCTCAAAAAAGATGATATGTTTGGAGTTAGCAAGCTCATTATTCTTCTCAAATTTTTAGGTTTCTTGGTTTGTGTATTTTTTTCTTCTTCCATTTTTTGTTTGAGAGGGAGAAAATATCCTCAGCAAATATTCAAAAATCCTATGTGATTAAAAAGAAAATCAAAATTTCTTTCTTCATTTGAAATCCGTCTTTTTTAGGCTTACTTACTCATCAGTCTATTACAGCACATAGAAAGCAGTTTTACATCTTCTTTTATCAGCTTCATCTGTGTTAACACTGAAAATCGAATCTCTTCAGCCACCTAGGTACTTCTCTTCCAACATGACTGCAAAAACACCAACCAGGAAAGAAAAGTCCCCTTTCACCAACAGTGAGGTCTCTTTTCTGTTTCTTTTCACGACACTCCTTTCTGGGGAAAAACAAAACAAAGCAATTCTCTGAGGCTACAGGTATGTTGGGACTGAAGATAAACTGATGATTTATATATATATTATCATCACTTCATAGAAATTTGTAAGCACAATAAAATCCAATATTACATACAATTCAGTTAGCTCAAACCAATGTTTTCTTATTCTATGACAGACATGTTTGGAACCTAATGAACGTCATAAGACAAGTAACCAAGAGAGTTATGTCTTAGCTATGGCTTTAGTCATTTAGAATGGTTTCACTCAAATGCCATGAAGGTAAAAATGAGTCCTGCTATCATTTTTTGTTATTTTGATTACACAGGACTCAGGGACAACGATGCACAACTGAAAGAACCTTCTGTTGTTCACTCTTGTTGAATTTCTTCTGTTCAAGGGATCATAAGGCATAGAACGACCCAGCTCAGCCACTCTTCTCGGAGGAGGAGAAGCCATCCCCAAGTGTGGGGCAGAAGTCTGCGGTCTCCTCCAGACTCACCTGTAGCCTCCTTCGCCATCCTTACGAGAAGCCACCAGAGGGAGCTCAGACCCAGGTATAAGGAGCAGGCTCTCTGGTGCCCGTCTCGGGTTTGGAAGAACCTAACCAAGTTTCAGTCTTGGACAAGTCTCCTCTCGGTAGGAAACGCTAACCGTGAGAGTTTCGCGATCTGCCCTGCCTGTTGCATTTTGTAATCCCCGTTCTAAGATCACGTCGCCCCCTCCTCCGCTCCCTGCTCCCCACCCGTGGCTCTGGTTTGGGGCCGAGAGACCCCAAAATGGCCAAGCGCACTTACCTCAGGCCGACTGCGAAGGGGTCCTCGGGTGCTCTGGGCCCCACAGCGACTGGGATGGAGCCAGGCTCGGGCAGGGAAGCCCCGCAGCTCCTCGCAGCTCCCGCGCCCGGCGGCGTCCCCGCCTCCGCCGCCCGCAGGCACAGCCAAGCGCCGTCGCCCGCTCCCCGCACCGCCCGGACACGCCCGCCCTCGGGGAAGCCCGACGCCCGCGAGGCCCGCCGGGTCCCAGAGAGGCGAACTGCGGCGGCGGGCGCTCTCGTGGGCGCCGTACCCGGCAGGGGTCCCGCGTCTCCGCGTCCGCTGCCGCCGCAGCCGCCGATGCCGCTCGCCAGCTACGGCCCGCGGGCCCGGAGGGTGAGAGACGGCGACGCGAGCAGCGGGCGGGGCCGGGCGAGAGGCGGGGCGAGAGGCGTGTGGGCGGGGCGGGGCTGGCGCAGGCGAGGCGGGGCGGGGTCGGACGCTGCGCGCGTCCCGCTCGGGGGCCCTTTTGGGAAGCCGGGGTTGCAGGGTGCCGCGGCTGCAGCGCGTGCCTGGAGGACTTTGGCTGCAGATGGTGGAAGTTGTGGAATGCGAGCATCATAGCGTCTCGCTGGCCTGGAGCTGAAATATTTTGGTTATGCGGGGAGAGGATGACAGCAATGGGCCATGAACCAGGGGGAGCAGGAAGATAAAGGGAGTTGTGGATTTGAGCACAAATGCTGACAGCTGTGGGAGTGGGCGGGGATGAGCTCTGGGCATCTAGAATCACCCAGCAGAAGAGAGCACTGGGTCAGGAAGGAATGGATGAGCGCTTGGATCTGGGGGGTACCTGCCTGAGGTTGCTGTCTCTGAAAGCAAAACCCAAATACCGAGGTATAATATATGAGAACCACTTCAGTAGCACGGGTATTAAAAATCAGGGGAAAAACAATACAAACTAATCGTTGGGGGCTGAAAATTTCTCTGGCACTATAAATTGGGAAAATATGGAACAAACAGGGAGCAGACACGTATAAACAAAATAGAAACCGACATTCAGTTTTAAAAAAATAAACTATTTACAGGAGAAAGCAGTGTGCCTTGATTTCCCTCACATGTACATGAAGCTTTAGGGCTTGGGAATTCTAGGGCAGGCATTGCCTGTGATTTCTTTCAGCGTATAGGTAATGGCTCACAGATACCAGTTTTCAGTTTGCCAAGAGTTGTCCCACTGCTATCTAAAATAACAACTCAGTAGCAATAACACTACAGTGAAATATCAAGCTTCATAAATGAAAAAATTTATCCCCAGTTTGGGCCTGGTAATGCCTCAGTCTCCTCTTAACCCTAATTGGCAATAAGGATAGATGTATGCACTTCAAAATGAGTGTCTGGCTTAGATCACTTTCTAGTAAAAAAACAAGCAGAACACTGATAACAGAAGAAATTTCAAAAGCATTTAGCATGGAGATGAAAGGTGACATTTACTTCCTCGTGGCTCTTTCTGTTTGCTAGTAGTAACTGCTTATTCTCTTTCTTGCCTTACAGTATCTGTTATCCAATCATCTTCCACTTGATTGTTATAATTCTTCTGACCATTGAGTTTCTCATTATGCTGGTGTAAGCTCATTATCCTGGTGCGTAAATTTCTTTGTAAATATCTGTTAATTTTCCCAAGCCAGAATGCATTAATCCAGCACTATTAGTATTTGAACCTGTAGTCAACTGTTAGATTATTTTATGCTGTTTATGCTATACTCTATTTGAAGTTCCTCCAAGTCATAAGTAGAATTCAGTCCCATTTTTTAAGTGCTCTACCTATGTTTGAACTAAACTTGTAACAGTTGGGCCCACATAGAGCCTTGTCTCCTCTACTGGGATTCATCCTAAAACAGCTCTTTCTTTGACTTTCTGAAACAGAGTGTCTTGTTTCATCTGCGCTGTCCCTCTTCTTGGCCCCAGATGGAAGAAGACCCATGGCCTCCAGCCTTCTTGGTGGAGACTAGAGTTGTGGGAAAGGAGAGTCAGACTGCAGAGATGGTTTATGTTTGCAACAGAGAGGAAACTAGGAATTAGCTTTTGTAGATACAGTAAATAGGCAGAGCAGTTTTCAGAACAAAGAGTGCAGATAGGGTGCTCTGTAGATTCAAAGTACTCTAAGAAGATGCAAACACAGGAAGATTGGAGAGAATTAGTGCACAAAGAGATGCCAAGTATTAACTGCCACCCTATCACTGTATTGTGAGATTTGTTAATATCAAAAAGATCATTTTCTCTTTGCAAGTGAATGAATCAAGGTCAGACATTGTGGTGGTGTTCTGTTTCACTTGTCTGCATTGAAGCTGTAAGGGTGCAGCTAGCTGCTCAGCACTCTCAGATGAATTTTCAGGCTAATTCATTTTGAACCTGCATCTTCTCACAGTTGTGAAATGTAAGTGCATTGAAAACAGGAGCCACAGCTGAACAATCCAGATCATTGGCAGAAAGGATGGCAGGTAAATGGTGCTATTAAAAATAGAGTCTTGTTTTCTGTGAACTAAAAATGGATAGCTCAATTATTGTTCCTTCTAAACATGAAGCATAAAGCATGAAGCTAAACATGAAACATAAAGTTAGTTAATTATAAATAATGCATCCAACCATAAAGAATGAGTTATATGCTATATTTTTGTACATTAAAAACCTTTGTGAGTGTCGCAAGAGACACATATACCAACAGCTGCTAAATTCAGAATCCTGGAGCATTATCTCACTTTAATGGAAGGGAAGAACAGTGCAGTCTATTGCTCAGGGGATTTGTGTCCATACAAAAGATTTTTAGATTTATTTGAGATTTTATACAATGTCTTAAAAGCACTTATGAAAATCTATTTTCTTTATCTGAATATGCTTCAAACTGTCTTCAACTACTGAACTTAAAACAACATAAAACAAACAGTACTTTCTAGAGTAGCTCCCTGGACACAAGCCTTTTCTCCTCCTCTCCTTCCCTTTTTTCCATTTATCCCTTTCCCCTTCCTTGTCTGTTTCTCTCTTCCCCACTGTGGGCCTCCTCCCTTCCCTCTTTCTTCCATTCCTTTCTTTTATTTCCCTTCTTTAACCTTCTTTCTTTTCTCTTCATTTTCCCGTTCTCCAGTACCTATTTCAGAGCCTGGACCTTTGTTTTGACTGCATTTAAAGTTGAATGTGAATATCACGCCCATTTTACAGTCTGAGAGAAAAAGTCTAAAAGGTCAAAAGTGCATTGCTGAATTCCGAACAGAATTGCAAATTCTTTTACTCCAGATTGGGTTGAGAATTTTGTCACCACACAGCATATTTGAAACTATGTCTTAGGGTGACTTTTAATTCAAATGATGTCTAAGACTGGGAAGCTGGCTTTTAAAGAGAATTTCTGTAAAAATTGTACATCTTAAGATGGTCAGTTTCAAGCCATGAACCTTAGAACATAAGTTAAATACCTCATAGTCTTAGAAAACAATAAATTGCAAGCAATGAAACTAGTTAGACAATATACGAAATCCCTGGGCTGAATTTTTTATTTGTCCATGATCTGTTGTTCTGGAGCACGCTACATAATTGGGAAAAATATTTATGAGCCAGTTGAAAATTCAGCAACTGCCCATGCTTGGGTCTGTAATGCATGAACTTGCACAAAACACAAACATTTGAATCTAGGATTGGCTGTATGCTTTTATTTTATTTTATTTTACTTTATTTTTAATATGGCTCTTGATAAAACTTTGATGGTGAGAGCTCAGATACAGATTTCTTGAACCACTTAACAGGGCCAGATGTTTATTTGATTTATCCACTAGAAAAGTTAGGGAGTTTAGGGGTATAGTAGCTGTGATTATTTAGCAACCAAATGTAAGCTGCAAATTTTATTGTACAACTGACCAGCAGTAAAAAATAATAAAGACAAAACTACAGATTTAAGGAAGGCACGAGAATCTGGAAATACTCTTTTAGCTGTTATTTTGAATACAAAATATCTCAAGATGGAGAGGGTTTTTGCCTGCAGAGTTACTAATGAAGATGTGACTGAGAGTGTACCTTCAGTTTGTTTATCCAGCTGTACAAGAGTCAATATGATAATAACTGGATTTATAAAAACTTTAAAAAATACCAAAGTCAACTGCTGAGGGAAGGAGTTTTCCCACAAGTCCATTAAACTTTTGTATTCATAAATGAGAAATTTTTTTGCCAGTATATC